TTGATATGTTTACCACCTTCAATGTGAGATCGCTTGACTTTAGACTGCTGAAGCTTGCCTTGACCAACCATCTCGATCGGCTCAGTGGCCGAGTTGTGCATAGTGGTAGCAGCGACCACAGACATGAAAGAAAGAGTGCCGATAATGGCAGATGGGAAATGCATATTGGTAGACACTGACTCAATGGGGTGTACAAGTAAGTGTATATACGGAGTAGTTCACAACTATTATACAACAATTGCGGAATCTATGTATGAGGGATAAATGTCGCAAATCTTAACAAGAACTTTGGAGCCCCAAGTCTTTATAGCGTCTCTTTATGAAAAACGGTAAAACTGCGGGTTCAATAACTTTACGAGGCGGCAGTGCAGCTTGTATTCTAAGTTGACAGCAGCCACCATAACTTGAGCCTGTAATTATAGGCGTAAAGCACACCAAGTCTGAACTCGGGACTAATTTAATCATGCAGTGAAAACATGAAACTAATGGGGCATTAAATTATTCATTTGAACAGGGTTGCGAGAAAACCATTAGGCAAAAAACAATACTTGTTGGCCTAATACCCTTGGTTTAAACTTGCTACTGAATTTTGTTTATTCACTCAACATATGTTCATATGCTGGCTTGAAAATAAAGTACTTGGAAGGCCAAAAAAACACTGCTTACTGCACCATAGGCCTACTTTGAGATACAAGTCTTGTGCACTCGAGTTGAAGTTGTAGACTTAGGGTACGCTACCCGCGATATTGATGGGACACGTAAACAGTATGTTGGAGGTCGCTAGTCGCGAACAGCATGGCAAGTAAATTCCACATGTCCTCATTCCCAAACCCTTCCTATTTGACTAGAAGGAGGAACAGCGTATCCACGTGAGAATGCTTTATGTTGTAGCCAGTGAAATGATTGTCAATAAACATGCATCAATCTACATTCATGTGAAATGAAACACTTGTATTCATTTTCAGCGACTGTCCATTTTGCTTTGGAATAGACATTGGTTGAATATTCGTTATGCTTTCCTATTAAAAATTGACTTGTACATTTTAAACACATCATCAGACCATGGTTTTAATTCAATACTATCGTTCCCTGCCTGTTTGTTATAGCCATATGTTATGCAGCCACCAAGTCTGAAAACCAATCTGTCCACAGTAGTCCAAATATTGAGTCCAATTGCTATCAGTAATATTCTGTACAAACCTATGTGTATCTTGAAACCTTGTATGCATTTGCATCTAGTTCGAAAACCAGATTGCACATCTCGAATAAACTGTTGTTTCTATGACGATTAACCAGGCGTACTTTGACTGTTTGGTTGTAGAAAAGGACAGTCAAAGATTGAACAGGTGTTGGGAATGTGGAATTTATGGACACACAAATGGAAATACTGTCAACTCACCTGGATTGGTTTGCTTAGTCCCAAAGTGTACTATCTTGGTGATGCTGTGCAAATGTTGGTGGATTGTATGTTGATCTGAATGGCAGGAGTATATACCGCTTGTGTTTCTTGTACCGTGGCGATAATCTGATTGTCAACACGGTCAGTTTGCCGAACGATCGCAGTTCACTCGATTCAATACACAGCGTCGCACGTTTGATCTTGTTGCAACCAAAACGTTGGTGTTGCATCTATAGTCTGTATATTAACATAAACAGTTGTGCAGTTTTACAAACCAAAGGCTCTTGTTTCTAAAATACTGCCATAGTCTGCTCAATGTCAGTGTTTCCAAAATATGAGTGTGGGTTGACAATCTCATTTTATTTTATTTCTTCATTCCCATTCATTATCATTAGCTTTAAAAGTAATTTTTATTCATGATTATTTCTAAAAAATCTGAAAACCAGATAGAATAGCAAAAGTTCCAACATAGTTCATTATCCTTTATGCAAACATTGGGTTGATACCAAATGGTAGTTGTTTTATTGCCGTTGTTGTGGTTGTTGTAGCTGTTGTTGTGGTTGTTGTTGCCATCTCGAACTAATCTCACTCACAACTGATTGGACTCTTTGCTGTCTCTGTTGCTGCTGTTGTGGTCGCGGTCGTTTTAATATATCGGTTGGTCCCCAAAGCCTTCCTCCTGGCATATAGTCGGTTATTTTTGGTTTAAAACCTCGACCACTTGAATCAAAGATTGGTGCATTAGCGTTGGCAATAGGCACTGATGGGTTGAAAGGTGGAGGTTTATAACTGCTGTCTTGGTACGTTGGAGCAGTTTTACCCCGAACATTTCCAGCTGGCAAATACTTGCAGACAATATTACGAGACCTAGTTTGTCCCATATTACGTTCGCCATATGCACATCCAAGCTGGGTGGAGGAAGGCCAAACCATTTGAGTGTAGTGGCCATATAGATTGGGATTTCCTTCTCCGATGAGCTGACCTTGGTAAAGCCGCCATTCTTCAAACCAGGAATATGTTGGCTGGTTGCAGGTTTCATCATTTGCGCTGTTACTTTGATATAGATTCTCGCCATAAGAGGGTTGCCTAGAATGCTCAAACGATCCTGTTAAAGAAAGATGTCGTGCCCATTCATATGCCATTGCCTCCAAACTCGCACTCCATGCGAGTGGAACTGAGCCAACCAACCGACGATATCTATTATGGTGGATTAGACAGTTTTGTCCGAATACAGAACGTGCCCTAGTTTCATCTGATAACTTTTTGGGAGGATTGGGTGGATTGGGATTGTTGGGAGGATTGGGACTGGGCCTAGAAGTTTTTCTTGAAGGTGGTTTCACAGGCCCAAACCCAGATTTTTCGTTTCTTGGTTCCGCAGGCTCAGGCCTTTCGGGTTTCTTTGGTTCCGCAGGTTTAGGCCTTTCGGGTTTCTTTGGTTCCACAGGCTCGGAATCTTCATCATCCTTTGATTTTGCAGACTTGGAATCTTCACCATTCTTCGATTTTGCAGACTTGGAATCTTCGTCATTCTTCGATCTTGCAGACTTGGAATCTTCGTCATCCTTTGAGTTTTCAGATTCGGAGTCTTCATCATCCTTTGAGTTTTCAGACTCGGAATCTTCATCTTTCTTTGGTCCCGGCTTGCCAATTTTTGAGGGTGTGCCTGACCGACCGTTTTTACCTGGAATGGAAGAACCAGAAGGAGTATCAGAGTCGAGTTCATCATCACCAGACCCCTTTGCAGATGATTGATCATCTTTTAGTTTGCTGCTGCCTGCTGACCGAGATCCAGTTTTTGATGTAGACTCAGTATCACTTTTCGGCAACGACGATTCACTAGGATCTTTGGAATCATTATTTTCTTGGCTACTTGATTGCGATGGACTCTTTTCCTTTGCAGAGCTTGTTTTACTAGGCTGACCACTCGTCACCTTTCTGGGTTTTTTTCGACATCCTCGTCGCTTCAATGCAGCGACTCTCATCATATCAAGCAAGCTGGCGGTACGTTTGAATAAGCTTTGTGTTTCAATAGCAAGTGCACCTCGTTTGTAAAGCAGCTTAGTGTTTAATCGATTAGATTGTGATGACCCAATACTAATTTGCGTCATTGACAATATAACGGTAGCTACTACTATCAACTTCATTTCTGAATTGAGTATGTAGAGCAGCGATACTTTCAAATGAGATAAGCCTACGTGGAATTAAATACGACTATTTCCAATCCAATTGCTTCCTTGATTTTATAAAGATGGCTTAACTATGAAGTTATTCAAGATCTGAAAGCTGGCTTGCGGATGATATGCTGTTCAAGTGAGAGTGCAAGAAGATGGAGGCTTTGGGATAAACTTGTAGTTGGTAGGCAAACTCACTGTAGCTAGTCGTATCTGCAATAAACGGTTTAAAATCGTTGGGCTACTGCTGATTTTCAAAGGGCTGCAATAAACTGTCGCCTTTTAATCTATACAAAACAAAAGTGGAGCAAGATTAGAGGGATTGTCTGTTTTTTAAGTCATCTTGACAATTGCAATAGCGACTGTGACAATAAAATGCTGTGCACTTATGCACAACGTTGTGCATGTTCTACTGGCAAGTAGGATGTGTAGTCAGGTATTGACCTCCCTGCTTACACAAGTCTCCATCTTGTGCAAAATCTGTACCTATTCCCCAAAAGGCGTAAAACCGGACCCGCGCGAATACTGAGCACATAGATTTGTGCTCAATCAAAGCATATAGTGGCAATTTGACAAGAGTCCAAAAATAACTGCAACTCTATTGAATAAATGCTTTCAAAATAATTATAAACTCGGCAAGTCATGTATTTTGGAGACTCGCAGTCGTATTCGTGTGGAATGGAGTTTTCGTAGTTACCATTTCACTTGGAAATATACAATGCTTAAATATTCAGCTTCCCTACTACAAATAGACTAATAGACATTCCCAATTATTAAAAACACAACTTCATCGTGAGACTGGCTATTTATTATGTATTTTGGTACTTATTAGTGTTTCATTTCACATGAATATGGCCGTAAACCTTCAAATAGTCTGAGCTGGCAATATAACACAGATGCTAATAAAAATGGCATATGAACAATTCGAATTTAACCTTGAAGATTCAACGTTTCACCCATCATGTTTCCAGGTGGACTACGTAATTAAGTGTACATAAACAATTAAATCATTGAAAATGGATGAGTAAGATATCTATAATTCATAAAATCAATAAATACACGACAACAACCAATTCTAATATACCTGTAATGACAAACGGTCTTTGCACCAACTGCACATCCCATCTCCTTGGATCGAGGCGAAATGACCTGAGTAAAATGCCCAGCAAACTTATTGACTGCCAAATAATCGACGACTTTTGTTTCGGGTCCAAAATAACGCACTTCGTCATAAAAAGCATGTACGGCAGCAGTGCAATCTTGACTTGTACCGGGCCATAGTGATTCACCATTACCAGGAATCTTACTATGTACCATATCAGGTGTACCTGCTATTTTTTTTGCCGATTCCATAAGTCTAACGCTATGCCTAAGCGGAGCCTTGCCGTGTTTAGCACGATACTGGTTATGAAGTTGAAGACACTGCAATGAAAATCCAATATCAGAAGCAAACGCCCCCTTTGGCTGCTGTTCATTATGTTGCTGTTCACTATGTTGCTCCTGTTTAGCAATTTTCCATGCAGGTTCACTGGGTTGCGGATCTAGATGCTTTCGTTTTCCGCTACTTTTTCCAGGCCCTCTGCGCTCAGCATTATTACGCTCTTCTTCACGTTTTTGTTCAATAGCTTTCTTTTCATGTTCTTTACGCTCTTTCTCTTTACGTTCTGCCTCTTTACGCTCTTCTTCCTTACGCTCTTCTTCCTTACGCTCTTCTTCCTTACGTTCTTCTTCCTTACGCGCCTGCTCCTCACGTTCCATTTTACGCTCCATTCTACGCTTCTTTTCTTGCTCTCTTATCCGCTCTTTCTCGGCAAGTTGGTCCAAGAACTTCAATTTCGCAGCTCGGGCAGCTTCTCTCACTAGTTTTTTGTCAGCTTGATATTTCTTGGTACATCCTACACGCTGAGGCGCTTGACGCTTCATCAGAACAATGAATTGTGTTTCGGGTGATAGAAGAGGTTGGATAGAAACACCGTTTGCTGGAACTACAATCACTGTCATAAAAATGCAAACTATATACCCGAAAACAATTGGTACATACGAAAGGCCGGGAGTTTTAAATGCGATCATGTTGATTATTGGTGGCCAGTATATTGATTTTACTGATTCAGACAAAGATTATGGATAAAAGCTGTAACGGCTTAAAAAGGTAAAACCATCCTTCTATATAAGCCTTGAATGACAATAATTTAAAAGATAGGTCATATTTAGGGTGTGTGCATAGCTATTTTAAAGTATCCCTATGAGCACAGATTGGGCAGATAGAGCAGTGAGAGTGCTGTGAGTGATCAAAATTGCGCGAGTATATGCGTCCTGTAACTGACTGGTCAAGCAAATGAGGGTGACTTGATTTTGACTGAAACCTCCCTTTGAAAGTAGGGCTACTATTTTCTATTTGAAATTTCATAATAGAATGATAAAGTTTTAATATGCTTATTTGATAAAGCCACAATCAGACATGCACAAAAACATTGATTTAGCGCTAATCACCCTATGCTTGGTCAGGGTTTGAAATGGCATTCAAGGGATCTACAACCGTATCCATGTGAAATGAAACACTTGTATTCATTTTCAGCGACTGTCCATTTTGCTTTGGAATAGACATTGGTTGAATATTCGTTATGCTTTCCTATTAAAAATTGACTTGTACATTTTAAACACATCATCAGACCATGGTTTTAATTCAATACTATCGTTCCCTGCCTGTTTGTTATAGCCATATGTTATGCAGCCACCAAGTCTGAAAACCAACTTGTCCATTATAGTCCAAATATTGAGTCCAATTGCTATCAGTAATATTCTGTACAAACCTATGTGTATCTTGAAACCTTGTATGCATTTGCATCTAGTTCGAAAACCAGATTGCACATCTCAAATAAACTGTTGTTTCTATGACGATTAACCAGGCGTACTTTGACTGTTTGGTTGTAGAAAAGGACAGTCAAAGATTGAACAGGTGTTGAGAATGTGGAATTTATGGACACACAAATGGAAATACTGTCAACTCACCTGGATTGGTTTGCTTAGTCCCAAAGTGTACTATCTTGGTGATGCTGTGCAAATGTTGGTGGATTGTATGTTGATCTGAATGGCAGGAGTATATACCGCTTGTGTTTCTTGTACCGTGGCGATAATCTGATTGTCAACACGGTCAGTTTGCCGAACGATCGCAGTTTACTCGATTCAATACACAACGTCGCACGTTTGATCTTGTTGCAACCAAAACGTTGGTGTTGCATCTATAGTCTGTATATTAACATAAACAGTTGTGCAGTTTTACAAACCAAAGGCTCTTGTTTCTAAAATACTGCCATAGTCTGCTCAATGTCAGTGTTTCCAAAATATGAGTGTGGGTTGACAATCTCATTTTATTTTATTTCTTCATTCCCATTACAACTATTAAAAGAGCATTGATATGTTGCAAATTAAAAGTGAACAAGATAATCGTGCCGAGTCAAGATATATAGATGAGGTCAACTAGGATATACATGAATTAGTATGACATCCATGATCCAACTATATTTCCAGGAGGACTATTGATACGAAAGCAATGGTGTTAGTAAATAAATTCAATACATGGTTCAGAATTGATGAACTTACGAAAAGTTGCAAACAGTCTTGCATCCAACTGCACAGCCAGCGTAGATAGAATTGGGGGATACTATTTGAGTAAAATGGCCGGCAAATGTGAAGACGCTTGAAACGTAGACGGGATTGGTTCTCAGCAGCTTGATCTCATCATACCACATATCCACGGCACCAATACAACTGGGATCTTTGCCAGAATAGAGATTTTGACCACCAAAGTTGTGTCTCCATTCACAATTACTAGCCCAGTCTTGAGCACTGGCGATGAGCGTGTCAGTCATAATTAGGTCGGGACGTTTGTGCAAACGTCGATAATAGTTCATGCGATCGAGACATCGCCGAGAAAAGTCTGCTGCGTTAGAAGGTGGTGGTTTTGGAGCAGGTGGAGAAGGAGAGTTGGTTCTGGAAGGAGTATTGGATGCAGCAGACGACGGCGATGGCTGAAACGCTCTCCTGCATCCATTTCGCTGCGAGGGATCATTGTCTCGCTTCTGAAAAAGTATATCCATAGCAACACTGTTGAGATTAGGTTGGACATGCTGGTGTGCTGACGATACGGTATCAGAACTTTCTTGAGCCAATACTTGAGGAGTAGTCGAGATAACACAGCCAACACAATATAGAGACGGTATGTTATAGAAGAATCGCAGCAAGCGTGACTGCTCGTCGTGGAAAAAAACCGGGAAGTCCACTT